GAGGTTTAATTTAATGAGAACAACATGAAAATTCTATGATAATTATTTATCAAAATAATTAAAATTATATTTAGTCTAACAGTGAGTTACTTAATAAATCGACGCACTATCCAAATAAGACTATCTTTATTCTTCAGTAACAAATTATATTGTCAAAATTCCCGAAAATGTAAATTTGCAAATAGTATCGTAACTAAACTGTAAGTGCAAAACAATATTAAAGACAATTATGCAAATGCAAATCGACATTGTTGTAAACTTTATTTCATAAAACAACTTGAAAAGCTACTTTATGAAATGATCTATATTTTACAGACTTTGTTGCAAGTAGCAAGGTGGAGAAATATGTTTTAACCTTACATTTGTCTGAATTCAAATTGCTCTAAAACTAATGCGAATGTTTCATGTCTACTAAGTGTTAAAAGCAGTGAATCAAAGATATGTATTTCTAAGGATTTGTTCAATAAATAAAAAATTAAAAGATAATAAAATCAGAGAGCATTGACCACTAAAATCTAAAATATTAGTTTTTTGTGAAAAAATAATTTTTTGTTACAATTTTTAAACAAAATTTTAAATATTGTACTACTGCGTATAATAGATGCAAGCCTATCCATTTTGTTCACCTACAAAATACCGGGTGATTTACATAAATTTACTACTCTGACGAACTTTAAAAGCAATCAGTTTTTTTTTTTTGATTTGATGTCATGCCTTTTTATTTTTATTTATATTCGTAATTCGTAAGACTTATAATTTTTTATGAATCACTGTGTATAATAAAAAAAATACAAATAATTAATACCGTGCTATCAAAAAAATTATTAGAGTTGGCGGTGATTAAAGTCCTTCAGATGGCAATCCTGATTTTTGACATCAAATGTTATTAGTAGAGGAGTAAAGACGCTTATTTAAGAAGTTAGTCCGGACTCGAGGACACGATTTTTGAAAACTGATTGTTATGTAAAATTTTCTACTGAATTCGAATCAGGAAATGGTTTTTTGATTTAGAATTGCCTTCACTACGAAACAGACGTTTTTGTGAAAAATTTGGAAAATTTAGAATTGCGATTTTTTTGTTTAGACCCCTGTACCTTCCCTCTAGATGTAGCTAGAAAATTGATTTTTTCTCAGAATACTGTGTATTCGTAGCTACTTCACGTGATAATTTTTATTTTGACATTTCAAGTTAGGTATTTTTTTTAATTTCAGGTGACACATATGTACACTGGCAGACATGAAATTTTGGACGATTTGTCATTCGACTGACAAACGGGCCTTAGACAACTAACTTTACTTTCAGTTTTTGTAATTTTTATCATGATAGCTAGAGAAACAACGACAACAAATCAAAATAATTTATTGAACTTATATAAAGACACGTATGCTGGCATTATTGTTTTGCCAAAAATAAATTACAACTAAAAGATTCATATTTTAGTTTCAAACGTCAATCATAATAACAATAAAGCGTGGCTTACATTAACATTTTTTGAACTGACCTAAATTTGATGTCCGTGTCCGCCACTGTATATACCTATGTTTTAGAATGTATGGACATAAAGTCCATTTTTTTTTAAACAATTGTCAAAGTGTTGTCATGTTGGTATCAACCACTAGTTATTTGATGTTATTACGTTGGCAACGTAAAATGACAATTGAATGTCAGCCGTTTTATTACGAAGGCGCTTGGGCTACTGAAGCCGCAATTACTTTTAAATATTAAATTGAAAGTGCAACTTAAAGAGCACAGAAAATGTTGAAGATGGAATTGATTGGTATTAGAATTAATTCTGTGACGTTGCGGATAGCAGGAATACCTACGCTGCCCCGAACAGAGGCCTTTTAGAACGGAACTATTACGGAAGGTTTTTTTTGTGAATCTTGCCGTTTTTGAGGAGCCAGTCTTAGCCTAGCTCTCGTACGAGTTAATTGAATTATAATAATTATTCGAATAAATTATTGTGAAATTGTGTTTTATCTCTAGAAGAATCGTTTACAAAAATGAGTTTCTGAAAGCAAGGATCTGGACCTTAACATAACAAGAAAAATAACTATGATTAGATTTTGTGAATATATGCAGACGGAAAACCAACCATGTTAAAATTCTTCATGAATTTGATAATTTTGGTTGTGTAAAAACTTCTAAAAAAGAACGGCATCCAATAAATTGCATGACTAATACAGTATTTTATTATATTCCTCCAATAATGATTCACCTTTCTCCAGAATCAGATTCTGAAGACGATGATTGGTGGTCTTAAAATTTTGAATCAGATTCTGAAAATGAGTAAAAATTTAAATTATCCATTAAATAAATTTTTCCCGGTTAGCAGTTGCATGTTTCCGTGTCCTTGCCGTCTTTATTTCTTGTCCTTTGGTAAAAAATTGCTTCCACTTCAAACTTTTCTGACATTTGAAAATTACTAACATAACCTCAAACCTAATCTAGGGAGATTTTAATATACAACTGTTCCGAAAATAAGATTTTTTGGGGTAGTATAGTCTGGTTTTTGAGGGAATTTTGACATTGACAATTGTTTAAAAAAAAATGGACTTTACTACTATGGGCATAATTTGATCTCTATAACTCTTGCCTTTGGTACATACATAAATAACTATTATTAAGTACCTACTTATTTTGGAACTATAAATTTGTTTCTAAGGGCAGGGGCAAAAATAGCTGCATAGTCATCCAAATGAAATAGCGAATATTGTCTAAAATTATAATACGACAAATCAGCTTAGGACAGAAGATGATCAGTCTGTAGTAAAATACAAATTAGGGTTCTAAGCTGCATTGTTGTAACATTTATAATTTTAGACAATATTCACTATTTCAGTTGGATGGCGATACTAATCCAAAGCTCCAAAAAGGTCAGTTAATCCATGGGAATGATTGCGATGGTGGCAGATCCTCCCAGTGAGAACGCAACGTAAACTGTTGTGAGTCTTTCCACTAAGAATTAAACAAAAAAAAATCATCAAACACATCTTCATATAATTCAGTTTTTACAAGTTTTAAGATATGTACTTTCAGACAAAGGTATACATAAAAATGAATAGTACATACTATCTTAAAAACGAATATTTCATAAAAACTACAGAGAAGGTACATTTAAATAAAATAAAGACTCGCAAAGTCAATATATTAATTATAATGCAAAGGTCGTAAGTAGAATTTTGTAAAAATCAGTTATTTCAGTTTGTTTCAACTAAAATAAAAAAAGTATTTAAGTTTATCGAAAGATCAAGATAATTTGTAATCGACTCATCCTTGGATGCTAAAACTTTTTCATATTAATTCGCATCAAGTAGGTTGTAGAATTGTAAATGTAATTTAAAGGCCGATTCACACAAATAGTGTCATTAATGTTATTCAGAATTTAATCACATCAATAATGACAAAAAATTTTATGTTTGCCACCCGATGTTTACGTTGTTAGCTTTAATTATTTTTTTGCTACCTCAAAAACTGGGATACACAATTTTAGAGAGGATTGAGATTAGGATTGTTTGAATTTTCGTATGGTGGCCAATTTAAAATGATCCCATTCAACGACGACTTCGATGCACATTAATATAAAAACGACTATATGTCAGTGAAACGCTAAATAAAATGACAAGTCGAAAGGTAAAATGGCATAAACAAAAAAATGATGATTTTAATAACTAAATTTATGATTTACTTTAGAAAAAGAACGGTCCTGTAGTTAGAAGACCCGGCAACTAATTCGAGCCCATTTTGCCGATTTAGTTGCCAGTTAGTTCAAAAACAGACATAGGCACGTCTTCGGATCCAAAAATGATTCGATAACAAATTGATCTTTCGATAGTTAAATCTTCTAAAACATTCTACTGTCTTTTATAAAACCGTCAACACAAATGTCAAAAATGTAAAAATATTTGAAAACCGAATGGACACGGCAGATAAGGAGACAGAAATAAATTGAGTCAAAGTCTATTAATACTAACTTGTGAACAACTGTCAAGCGTTCAGAAACAAACTGAGCAAGGGAACAAATACTAGAACTTATTATATTATTAGGTGTCAACATGTTGCCAAAGTTTTGTAGTGTGACGCTAGATCGATTCAAAGGGATTTCTGAAAGCAAATTGTTAACTGCATTTAGTAAGTTTTCTAATTCGATTGAAAAGTCTGTCTCACTTTAATTATATCGGTGTAATGACTAATGACACCAATTTTAATCAGTATTTGTTTATTTTATGAAATAAAGTCGTGGGCAGCTCGTCTTTTAAATTATATTATTTTCATAACAAGAAATGAAAAATCCAGTTGCGTTTTTATGTTGCTTCGTATAAATGAGAAAGCCAGTTAAAAATCCTGCTACCGGAAAAAGCAGAATCCACTTATCTTTCAATAAGTTGGCCCATATCCCCATTAGGCGGGCGGATTTTTTCAGTACGCTTATTCGAACACGTTCAATTTGGAATCGATGAGTCTCTTAATTTAGTTAGAGCTCCGGTTTGATTTTAAATAGAATCGGCTGGTATTAGAGGAAGCGAAATTATCCTGTCAGAAATCGCGTCGTAGCTAATTTATCTTCTTGGTCCTGGTGAAAGGGTTACGCTTGCAGACGTTGATATATAACACCGTTCCGTTCCGTAGGAAGCTGGCGGACATCTCGAGGTCGACGCGGGGCGTGGTGGTGCTGCTGAGCGATCGTCCTGCAGCGGTGCGTATCCTGGAGGACGCCAAAAGGCTGAACATGATGGACGGCCATTTCGTCTGGTTGTGGGTCGACACGGCGGCGAACATCAGCATCAGCGACGACGGTGGCGCCGATAAAGATAAACCACCACCAACCGAGGATCGATACAAACGTAGTGTAGTTAAAAGTGATATCAGTGATATGCATGTGAATTATTTATTAAAAAACGATCAGTTTCTTTTGTTCAATCGTAATTATGGCGTTGAAAGTTCTAAATTCAAAGATCGTAACGATAGATCTCAACGTTTATTTAGTGTTGTGGATGGTGAGTTTAAAGGAGAACTTCCTGCCGGTCTGCTGCGTTTGAAGCCTCTTCCGGTCAGGGTGGACAGACACCTGGTCAAGGGCACCGTGCGATTGCTCCTTGCCACTCTCAAGTTGGTCCTCCAGAGGTCGCCTTTGTGGATGCTGCAAAGCATCGCCAAAGGACAGCTCACCACCAGCTGTTGGAAAACGCTAGGTGCCAGGGAATTCAAGTTCTCCGACAACTTCGGAAGGTAAATCTAACTATCTATATTTTTTATTTAAATATTTACTCCTTAAGCTATTGTGACTGTCAGATTAATTTTTTTGAGAGAAATTAACTTTTCTCATAAGAGAGCATCCAAAAATATGCTTTTTTTTACTATTTATATTAGTAACTTTCTTATGGCGATAAAAAAATATAAATATTCAGTTGCGTACTGGAACACATTCTTTTAAATATACAAGATGATTTAAAAGTATCAGGCCATCTCTTGGGTGGTGATAAAAGATATTTAACAGAGTTAAAATTTCCTATGACAAAACATTGTTTGAGCCTTTTCTCACGCGATATAGCTCTTTAAAGGTTAGATTTGGGGTTAAATTGTTGGCCGTTCATATTATGTATTCTTGACTTTAGTTTACAGAAACTGCAGATCTTGCAACTTAAAACAGATACTTATTTAAAAAAATCACCAAACATCAGAAACAAAATAGCTAAAATGCCTACATGATAATAAGGAAATTGACAGTTCTGTTTTTTTTTCAAAAAAGGTTTGAAAAAAATGTGAATTTGTTTTATGCTTAGCTGGAAGTTTTCTATCACCATTCGAGAGTTGACCCCGCGCATTTGAATCATTCTTTTTAATAACATACTAGAATCTGCCACGAAGCTATAACTTTGATTATTAGTATGAATATAATTTTTTTAAGAAATAATGATACCTTCAATCAAGATAATTTGTAATCGAGTCATCCTTGGATCCGAAAACGTATGTCTGTAAAATCTCAAGTAAAATGACAAGTCGAAAGGTAAAATGGCATGATCAAACCGGTGATGATTAAAATAACTAAATTTATAATTTACCTTAAAAAAAAGCGGTCTTACTCGTATTATACGTTGGCGACTAATTCCAGCCCATTTTGCCGTTTTACCTTTCAACTTGTCATTTTATTTGAGGTTTCACGTGCAGTTAGACATACGTTCTCGGATGCAAAGATGACTCGATTACAAATTATCTTGATCGCTCGATATAAGAGTAATTGAGTAACTCTTTATCATAGTTCATGGATAACAAAGCCAGTTAATTTAATAAATTACCAACAGGAGAAGCTTGACCACATAAAAATAGCAATATTTCATTTAGATATAAGGCTGGTGTATTGGTGTTTTTCTGGGTTAAGTTCAAACACTATTTGTAGGTAAAATACAAGCAATATTTATGAATAAAACAATTAATAGGATTTGCAGATATTTTGGTTTGTTTAATTTGCGGTGCAGTTATGAATTCAATAAAAAAATTAAAACATTGAAATATCAGAAACAACAAACACTTTGAAAAGTGGTATTACGAGATATTCGTAATACCCATGCCATACAACATTATTACTGTTGGTATTTTCTATCTATTAGAAAGTAAAATTAATAATTTGGTTGTTTATGCCCATTTGTAGTACTGTGAGATTTTTTAACATTCTATGCTCTAGTTATCCATGACCCATACGGCATCAATGAAACGTATCGCGTAACTAGAACCATATATTTCGGATTGCCTAAATATCAAACGTCACATATGAATTTGAATCATTTTACAACGGACAGTGTAATTTTGAAAAAGGCAATTTTTAGTATGAGAATCGACTAAACAAATTATAAACAGCACACGTGTTTCCAACCAAAACTGTAAAAAATTACTCAGGTTATTACCTTATTACATCTTGATATTTTTTTGTTACTGCAGCCATACAGTACTTTATTAAGAGGGGCTTGATCGCGCGCGCGGTAAAAAAGGGTATTGTTGGGGAGCTTCGATACCGATTCAGGGCGGTTTTCGGAAAAACTATCAAATGCATCTTTGAGATAAAGGATCAAACCAACCATTGACGTTACACCTGATTTTCAATTTTAAGAGGGGCCTGAAGACTAACGCGTTGAAAAGAAGATAATCAGAGACTGTTTTAGAGCGGATTTTGGAAAAAAAATATCAAATGCGTCTTTGAGATAAATGGTCAAACTGTTTTTTAATTTCCGTCTTGACGATAAAATATCGGTAATTATGTGGGTGAAAAAGCTTTCATTACACTCTGGAAGAGGGCAGGTCAAGAATTAGATTGTTAAATAAATTTAATAAATAATAACATGATTTTATGGAAGTAATTAATGCTTAAACAACAAACCTCGAAATAAAAACTGTAAGTGAATAAATTCGTACACTTGGCACAGAAGCTGCCAATAAATAGAATCCTTCAATTTGTTTAATCACTTGTTTCACAAGTGGAACAAATCAAACTTGTTTTTTGTTGATAAATTTTTATAGCAAATTAGGCTCCTCACAAACTCGTATTTAATGATACTGATGATCTTATATGTATATGTTTTTTTTTACAAAAATTGTGCCAATAAAAGCCACAGAGAAAAAACAGAGTTACAATTTGGATACAGCTTCCTTGTCTCCTCTTCTAATAGCCTGTAACAGATAAACTTGGAAAATTATTTTTACAACAGAAATAAATAGAGTCAAAGTGCAAAATTTAAACTCTCATAACTTCGAAATTTTTATAGATAAAAATTTTTTAACATTTTTTTCATGTTCCTGGTATCTTACCTTATATGGCATTTTTCTCTGGGGCGCGAGTTCTGGCGCACCTGTATTATTAATTAACGTTTGTAATCTTTATCACAAAAATTAATTAAACATTAATTTGAAAACAATGAATTCCCCTTTTAAGACGTCAATGATTGTTGCCACTGTTGTACGTTTGAATTCTACAACTTATAGACAACTTAGCCCATACTCAGATCAGTAATTTTTTACAAAAATATCAGGGTTATCTCACATTTTAAAGGTAACTTTTAAAGGTAAGTTTTATTTCAAGTAATTTTTTAACAATTGGCCACTTATAAACAGCAAGATTATACTTTTGGAACACAATTTATACCGACTCATGTGGAGGAATTGATTTGTATAACCACATTGGTGATTAGGCACAGTAACAACTCCCGTTGTTGTGTTTAATGTGTCACGAGAGTTTTACATTCACAAACAACTCAAATTATTTAGCTTAATTTAGTAGCTTAGTGTCACAGACAGAAAAGCAATTAGTAAAAACGAGTAAATAACAGCAAAAATTGGTTTAAAAGTGGTCTTGTGATAAAGAGATGTTTTTAAAATAATTTCTCACACTAAACTGTATGGACTTTTGTTTGTGGTCCATTTGGTGTGGAGTTGAAGGCATTAAAATCGTTGGCTTTTTTTTCTAAAGCACTCTTCGAAAAAACGCTTTTTTTAATTTTGATCAGAATGTATAATTTGATCATATCGTGTGATACATCGGTGTAATCAGGAACAAAAAGACTTTTCAAAAATACAGAAATCAAATGAGTGTTGTAACTCTGATATTACGAGCGCTTTGGAAAATACGATGACAGATTTAGATTCCTTGTAAAAAAGTGCCCTAAGAACGTCCTAGTTAAAAACGTCTAGGTCATTTAGTTTTCGCTTGAACAAATAAAAACGAAAATTACAAATTTCCGTTTTCTTCCAATAATTCAAAAACTTAAAATGACACATTAAATTTTCTTTAAAATTATTGTTCAGCATAAAATGCGCAACTTTTCCCTAATTTAACCCCTCTCTTATAATAACTGAGATCCCCATGGTGGAGCTCGAAAAACGAACACCCTGTAGAAAACATTGTTAAAATATAATAATAATTAGAAACTTTTAGTGGTTGATCTCAACCTCACAATATGAGAGAGATGGAATTTTATACATGAAAATATGTATTCCTATATTATTTTTTTATGCTTTTAGAAGAATGTGTCTTTAATTTAGTTACATTTATAAATTATAAGTTATAAGTAACATTTGTGGTTTGAAATGAAACAAAAATCATAATTTGGCCGCAGGTTTTTAAAAATGTAGTCCATCTCTTCCGGACTTACCCTAATATGTTTAATTTAAGAGTTGTTAAACTAACAACTAATATTAAGATTGTTTTAATATTTTCATGACTTTCGATTGTCGAATTGTAATTGGGATGAAAAAGTTTTTTCTGTGTGGATCCAAAGTGTTTTCATCCGTATCTACAAGTTTTTCTGAGCTTAAGAGCTTGATTCAACTCAGTACGGGTGGAATTGAGCCACGATTATGTGCAAATTTTGTTACGAGAAGCGAAAATGTGTCAGCATCACAGCCATTAGGCGAAGATTGTATCTTATGAGATCAACGCAATGTGTGTTTTTATATTAAAATAGCAACAGCAAACTTTCATAATATGTCGTGTGAGCGACATCTTAATTGAAAATATTTTTTTTTCTTAAACATAATACCTATTGTACAAATTGGTTTTGTTGTTGAATTAGCTACGTATTAGAAGATTTCGTTATTTTTTAAAACATTGTTATGGTTCATTAGCTTATCTTAGTTTGGAAAAGAGAACGCTGAAGAAGTTATTGGTTTAATGACGAAATTACCTTGATGGACATTTTAGCTTTAAAGTTAGACTGCTGTAATCGAAAATTAGTCTCAGAAACGTGAGCCCGGGATCTGGAGCGTATTTCCTGTAATACGTCTTACAATAATTAATTCCGTTCCGCGGACTCATCGAATTTCAGTGATCAACTTCAAAATTAAAATGTTTGTCGTCAAACTACGTATCGATTTATTCAAATCTGCCTTTAATATCCAATAACAAGAAATAATTTATCTTGTAAGTCAACGTGCTGCGATGAGTAGAAAGATTTTTTGCCATGTTTTGGAAATTTCATTATAACTACGCGTCAAAATTCAACCTTTCAAATTCAACAAAAAGTTAATGTCGACAACATCTGAGCTAAAAAAAAAAACAAAAAAAGTGGTCATCCTCAGGGAGTTTTATTCTCACCTGAGGATGACCACTTTGTGGTTGAAACGCGTTGTGTTTTAAATAAAAGTTTGGTGTGACGGGTTTAATCGTGTTTTTGTTCATCGTTTCCGTACCAAGAGTATCCAAGAAGAAGTAATAATGATAACATTATTTATATCACGCCGTA